TGCCTGAGCTGAGAGAGGAAAGCAGAGCACTGCAAGCTTTCGGTAGTGTAGACAGGTGACTCCCTCCCCTCTTTGGAGGGACCACCTGCTTGGGAAAATAGTTCTGACCCTTCTGGGTCCAGGTGCAATCCTGGCTGGCTGCCTCCCACTCAGCACCTACCAGGAGCAAATCCTCCCTGGCACCATGCTGCCGGCAAATGAACTGGCACCATGCTGCCGGCAAATGAACTAGACCCAAGAAAAGGCCTGCATCTCTGAAGGAACCTGGGACGTTTCTTTAAGGGCTTCTCTGTGCGTTTCATGACAGAGGAACAGCAAAAAAGCTCCACAGCCCGCAGCAAGAAGTCAAGCTCCAGTCCTTCAGCCTCTCCCATTTAAAGTCTGTTACGAAAAGGGGGGTACACAGACATGAGGGACAAAAGGCCTTTCTCTGGGGCTCTGTCAGAGCAGAGAAAAGGCATGCTCTGGTCTCCAGTATACTGAGACAGCCACAAACCCTTATGCTAGAAGATTTCTTAAGCATCAGTGCAAACACAATAGCGACTGCATGTTCCAGGATCTCCCTCTTCACCCAGTCCACAGATACCAAGCCCGTTCCATCCCTAGCTGAGGCAGCTTTGACTCTTCATCTTAAGATGAAGCAGCTGCTTTTTAAACTCTAACTAGCTTTAGCTCAAGCCATCGTGCCACAGCCAGCCCTCCCATGAGCGCAGAGGAAAATGAACCAAACCACGCTGGTTACTGAGTCTAAAGCAAAATTCTCAGCATGGGACCAGAGCATAACCAGGGAAAGCAGCAGCAAAGGAAACGTTGCTTTGCATACTGTTGGAAAGCAACAGTGCTATTAGCATACACACATAACAGGACATACTAGAAAAGGGAAGAAGAGACAGCTCACCCTTAGGGGAAAAATGTTTCATCATACTGTAGGCTACTTCAATGTAATCTTCATGTTTTAAGTGTCAAACCATCCACTGACCTCATTTCTGATGCTATCAGTTTTGATCAAGCTCTCTTGATGGAATCACAAGAACTGGTTTTTCCACAAGCTTTAATGTGTGCCAAGTATGCATACTAGGCCAACGATTTCCCAAGTGGCACCAGTTTTATGGCTTGATTTTTCAGAAACCATTGATTTTCCTTTTTCCCCCCTCCTAAGGCTCTTTTAAGTAGTTAAGTCACACAAAGAGCACTCCAAACTAACAGTCACTCAGTTCTGAAGATATTCTTCAGTTTTAGCTCATGCTCCAGCACATTTCTGCATGGGACAGCTGCAATATTTTTCCATGAGCAGCACAGAGGAAAAGACAAGCCACAACTAATTCTGTTACGATAACAAACCTAGCCTATTGAGCGTTTTCTGGGCAGCGCTGACTGCAAGAGAATAAGCTGCGCTGGCTCCGAACTCTGCCTCCGAGCAGAGGACAGTCTCGTGAATGTTTCTGCCTGGCCGGAGGTCTGCCTTGCCACTCTGAAGCAAACAACTAAAATGCAACCCTTCATTTGCCACGCAAAGTGAAACGTGCGTTCTCCAGAGGAGCGTAGCTGGAAATATTTAGTAAGTTAGTCCCTGGTATACAGCTGTCTTGTAGATCAAGCTAGCTAATTCACCGTCCTCACAAGGGGGTTGCAAGTTTATCTTGATTGCTGCAGAGAAACGCATAACCTAGCATCTTGCTGCGTGCCTGTGTTAGGAAACGCACCCAAAGATTAAATCTACAAACATATGTTCACGCACACTCATTAAAGTGTTGTTTACCTCCACGATACACATAGAAAAGGTCAAGAAATGTATAATCTCCTCCAGAATTTAGGATTTCCTCTCTCCCACCACAAGCCAAACAGTTTTGCTTAAAGATCCTTAGATATTGGAGGAAGAGCCCTACTAGGAAAGGGCCATGGAAACAGATGGTAAACAGGAATTCCAGCATTTCCAAGCCTTGTATTCCTGACCTCACAAGAGTGACACCCTGCACCACCATGTGCAGGGCCAGCACTTAAGTGTTCTATAAAACTGCTACTGCCGGAGGATTGAACGCCTCTAATGGAGCTTAATGAAGCTCAGGGACAAGGCAAAGTTGCCAAAGGCCATGCATAACGTTTTCACCAAATGCCTAATGGCAATAAAAAACAGGGCAATATTGCTTAATAGAACGCAGTAGGAAAAACCTAAGGAAACATCTGTTACAACAGTGGGATAAGAGCCCTCATACATGCATACCCCCCCCCATAGCCACAAGCACATCCTTGTCACCTTGACAGCAGCGTCCTCTGAAGGGTGTACACTCCTCAAAGGCTACTGTGACAGTAGAACCACATATGTTTTCCCTCATCATCTTATCACTCAATCTAAACACTCGTTGTCTTGCAATGCAGGATCTTGGCTGAAGCAAGATTTTTTCATGCTGAAAAATGACAACTTTTTGCAAGCTGTCAGTGTCAGGAAGAAGATGGAGGTACTGGGGTTGTAAATCTTCCAGAACCTGAAGCACCAGGCTCCCACGAGAAAGAACGCAACAGGGACCTCATGTCCATCATCTCTCCAAATGAAAGGATGGGTGTTTGGAAAAGTAGGAAAATTACCTATAGCCCTCTTCCTTTTCCATCTCAGCAGCTTTGACCAGAGCTACAGATACCACTAGCTTCAGTCCATTTTAGCATCCTTCTCTCTGTAAAAACGCTCCAAGGGTATAGGAGGGCACTCGCAAACTTAAGAGTGGCACAGTACTGTCTACCAAGAGGCAGGGGAGGAGTATATCAGGGTAAAATTTGAGGGTCTGTCAACTTCCACGATGTCTTTGTGCCACTAAAACAGAAACCTAAATGCTAAACGTCCTTTCCCTCAATCATTCCCATGGCTTGGAAAGGAACCAATTCATACAAGCATACACAGGTGTCTTGTTATATAGCTTGCAAGAAATAAATGAGCTGAGGAGAAAACCTCTGCAGCCCGCACTAACAGAGGAGAGTGAAAAGGCTAATTTCCAAATTCAGCAACAAAGAAAAAGTGAAGAAGGCCTCTACAAACTCAAGCACCTCTCCCATGGATTTCCAGAACAAAAAAAGCCTCCCTGCATAGCTCATCTTCTGAGGGCTGTGCGCTGATGGGAACGCATTGCTTGGCACTGCCTCGCACGGGGCACCTTCTTGAGCCAGGGAACACGCTACAGCCCTATGGCACGAAAGGGACAGTTTTAAATTCAAGGTCGTCTCCATTTGAGAATTCCAGTTCTGAAATGGAGCATCTTCCCCACAGAGGCTTTTCTACCTGGACTACACGGGAATCAAAAAAACCCAAAAAACTCTGAAGTGTGTTTCAGTGCCACGACACCTTGCACAGCTCAGACAACTACAGGTGACTTAAAATCTACCTCTCCCACTCAGTATATTCTGGCAAACCTACTCCCAGGTCTCAGCTCACCTCCTGTTCCTGTCAACAGTGGACTTAAAAACAAGAGGGACAAGACAGCTAAAAGAGGATTCAAGGCTCTTCCCCTGTGAAGGCTGCCACATCCTACCAACGCAATATACACAGAGAGCTCTCCTGCTCTAGAGCACTCTGCTGCTTCATCCCACGAGCAGAGTCGTAACTGCCACTGCCGTTGCATATCCTTTTTTCAATATCGCTTTTATCAATATAGCTTCTTTTGTTCCTGGCCTGGAGTAAACTGTACTTGCACAAAGCATCTTTAGAGCGGTTTTTCATTATAGGTTTTTACTGAAGTACATTTGTTGGTAAGCAAAACCAACCCACAACATAGCAGATGAGAAGAAAGCACCAGCCCACACATCCCCCTCTAAGTAAAGATACTAAAACCTGCAAAAAGCCTTAGAGAGCCCCACCAGTTCCAGCTTGCACGCTTCGGCCATGCATCAGAGGAGCAAGCACCACTCGCGTGCAGTTGAACCTAGGGCTTTGATTCAGACCTTTGAACACATGGATTGTTTATAGGTAGATCTGCAATACTCTGAGAAGGAAAGCAGAATAAAAGGGAACCAATTGCCTAGAAAAATAAAAAAATTAACATCATGCCATTTTTTTCAATGGCAGTAAGCAGCAAGTGTTATTGTGCAGTAGGTCGTTCAGGCAACCATTCAACTCGTACTGCTTTTTGTAGATCTGAGTCACCCCTAAAAAATTGCTTTAAATAAATAAGAGCGGGGAGCTAACAACTTTTCATGTCTACTTCTACAAGTAAATATACGTGGTCTACTTCAGGCAATACTGCTTTCCTGCGGAGAAATGAATTTCCCCTACATGGCTCAAACTAAACAAAAATAAAATTAAAAAAACAAAACAAAACGTCATCTTCAAGTGCCTTTCAGGAACTAAAGGCACACAAACCTCCACAAAGAAATGTATTTAAAAAAATAGATAAAATACTAAGACTTGCGTGCAGCATGTCTCCAATACAGACTAAAAGAAAGATACTGCTTGGGCCCTGCACGGCGGGGAAAAAGAATATGATTCAGTCAGGACGGGAATCGACACAGCATGACAGGAGAGGGCTCCGTTTAGATTTCACATCGGGCTGACTAATGCACCAGAGGCACGCACGTTCAACAGTGAAAAGAAAGGTCCGATAACCACAACACTGCCTGAAAGCCCTTTCTGAGAAACCTGGAATGACTAAGGGTATTGTGGAAGCGAGAACCACCGACATGGTGTTCACTCAACCCACTTCCATTGCAGGCAACCCCACAAAATATCATCCCCAGCTCTTAAGTCTGCATCAGCTCTTCACC